GCTCATTTTTAGGTATGTACCTGAGCTGGGAGGATCGCGGAAATCTGGCTTCGGTCATCGCCAATTGGCCTGAGTCTAGCGTCGAAATCACATGTATCACCGATGGCTCCCGCATCCTCGGACTGGGTGACCTGGGCATCAACGGCATGGGTATTCCCATTGGAAAGTTGGCTCTTTACACCGCCTGTGCGGGTATTCGTCCCGAGGCCACCCTGCCTCTGACTCTTGATCTGGGTACTAATAACAAGGCCCTCCGGGAAGACCCGCTCTACATGGGTAGCCGTCGCGAGAAGATCTCACCCGAAGAGGAGCGGGAGTTCTTGGACGAGCTGATGGGTGCCCTTACCGAGCGCTGGCCTGGGTAAGTGACTCACTCTCACATGTCTTTCGGGATGATCTCCCTATAGCAACCGCGACTAATAACGCTTCTCTAGTATCGTCATCCAATTCGAGGATTTCAAGAACCCCTTCCCCGCTCTTGAGCGGTACCGTGACCTGTACACTTGCTTCAACGATGACATCCAGGGTACTGGCGCTGTCATCCTTGGCGGTGTCATCAACGCTGTCAAGCGCTCCGGTCTGCCCTGCAAGGACCACCGTGCGGTGTTCTTCGGCGCCGGCAGCGCCGGTGTCGGCGTTGCCCGCCAGATCGTCGAGTTCTTCATGCGCGAAGGCATGACCGAGGATGAAGCCCGCAACTGCTTCTATCTCGTCGACACCAAGGGTCTCGTCACCGCTGACCGTGGCGACAAGCTCGCCGACCACAAGGTCTACTTCGCCCGCCGTGACAACAACGGCGAGCAGTACAAGACTCTCGACGAGGTCGTCGACTACGTCAAGCCCTCCATTCTAATGGGTCTCTCCACCATGGGCGGCGTCTTCACCCCAGAGATCCTGCGCAAGATGGCTGACTGGAATACCGCCCCTCTCATCTTCCCCCTCTCCAACCCCTCTTCCAAGTCCGAGTGTGACTTCGAGAGCGCTGTCGTCAACACCGACGGTCGCTGTCTCTTCGCCTCCGGCTCCCCCTTCCCCAACTTCACCTTCACCAACTCCGCCGGCGAGACCCGCACTTACTACCCCGGCCAGGGAAACAACATGTACGTCTTCCCTGGCATCGGTCTCGGTAGCATCCTGTCCAAGGCCGTTCGCGTCACAGACAGCATGATCTACGCCTCCGGTGCTGCCCTCTCCACTGCCCTCACCAGCGAGGAGCTCGAGCGTGGTCTGCTCTACCCTGACATCACCCGCATCCGCGAGGTCAGTGTCGTTGTTACCCGCAAGGTGATGCGCGCTGCCCAGGAGGACAAGGTGGACCGCGAGATTGCGCTGCGCTCCATGAGCGACGTCGAGTTGGATAACTGGATCAAGGGCCACATGTATGACCCTCACACTGAGGTCCGCGCTCTTGAGCGTGAGGTCGGCCACCTTCTCTCCAGTCTGGGAACAATCTCGCCCCCCATCACAGCGAGTGGATCCCCCACTGAGGAGAAGAATGCCAAGTTATAAGATTTGATCTTTTTCTTTCTTGACCTTGGATTTGCATATTGCATTTGGCAACAAAAAAAGAGCATTTGTTCTAGTCTGTCAGCGCTTAGGATCTCTGCGTGATGGACTCGCATGTCACTTTTTGCTTTTCATATTTCCCCCTTCTGTTGGTTTCGAGCGCACTTCGGTTATTTTCATTTTTATTTCTCTTTGCCTATTTTCGGGTTGGACACGAACTTCTTTTTCCCTGATTGAATACCCAGCACTTATTTTGGTCTTTGCTTGCGATTTGAGGGTCTTTGCATCTTGGGGGTAGTTGGCATTTAGCTGGCATTTCCATATGAATAAACAAATTAAAATCACTTTATAACACTATTCCATTATCCTAGTAGCCTACATCTTATCTATACTTTACCTTGTCCTCGGGTTGATCTCGTCCGATTCTTCATGAACAAAAAGTTCAATATATTAAGAACTCGCAATATCTTCTCTTCTAAGTTAGCGATAGTGGCAATCCTCACTGATCGCCAGATACTAAACTCCCAAGCATCCGCAAAAATCCAAACGGATGAATTCAACTCCCCGACTTTCCCGGTTCACCCACATTTCTTCAACGTGGAGCCTCGGCACCGAAGACTCCACAATATCAAAACGGGACATCAATCTCTCCGCGACGAGATGACTAATTCTAGTTTCAGTGCCTTTGAAGGCGGATAGATTTATGTTCTTCAAAATTTTGATAAAGCTTTCTGTTCGTCCCTTGCAGTTCTCTCGTTCGCATTCTGTGGTATAGAGCTATTTCTGCCCTTTTAAGTTGTGAGGGGAATTGAGACTAACATCATTGACAGTGTGTTTTATAACTGTTCAACCATAATATCTACATCGCCAATTGCATTAGACTGTATATGAAACTGTATATACACCATGCCTTCTCCCCTCGCAGACCCGGTCAAGCTCCCATGTGGACTGGTTTTGCCGAATAGGCTCAGCAAGGTACATTATTCAAGCCTAGTGGCTATGCACGAATAGAACTAACATCCTTCCAGGCAGCAATGGCTGAGATGTTAGCCAAAACTAACCAGCCGACAGACCCCCTGGTTGATGCCTATGAGCAATGGTCAGCGGGTGGATGGGGGAGTATCCTTACAGGTAAGGTCTAATGCTGCCATGGGTTGAGACTTCTATGGCAAATGCAAAACCCAGAAGCCCTTACCACCCTAATCTCACCCTACACTATAAACATATTCCTAAAAAAACAACCCTAACACCTCACCAGGAAACGTCCAAGTCGACGTAAACCACATGGGCAGCCCCTTCGACCCAGCCCTACACAACGAATACAAAGACAGCGAAACCAACAGCGCTCTAGTCGCTCAATGGAAGAAATACGCCGACACCTGCCAAAACCACGGCACGCCAGCCATCGCCCAGATCTGCCATCCAGGTCGGCAGTCCTTCCGCGTTGCAGGCCACCGTGGTATCTTCGCGCCTACGCTCGCGCCCAGCCCTGTGCCCATCAAGGTTGGAAATAGCTACCTCGAGGGCTTGATCGGGTGTCTTGTTTGGTCTGAACCCAAGGAAATGACCACTCAGGATATTGAGAGGGTTATTCGTCAGTTTGTTGATACTGCGAGACTTATGGCCGATGCTGGGTTCTCGGGTGTTGAGTTGCATGGTGCACATGGGTATTTGATTGGTATGTTTTTCTTTCTTTCTTTCTTTCTTTCTTTCTTTCTTTCTTTCTCTTTTTTTTAATGATTTGCTTGATGATCCTTGTGCTAATGGTTTTCTCGGTTAGACCAATTCCTCAACAGCAAGGTATGACACTCTCGTTCCTCGATCACCCCAGCCTAACATCATCATGAACACCAACCAACACCGATACTAACTCTAACCCTAGACAAACCTCCGCACAGACACTTACGGCGGCACACCCGAAAAGCGCGCCCGCTTCGTCTTAGAAATCCTCTCCCAAACGCGCAAAGTCGTATCGCCAACTTTCGCAATCGGCATTAAACTAAACTCCGCCGACCACAGCTCAGCAACCTTCGAAGAAACAATGACGCAAATTGCCCTGCTCGCTGAAGCGGGAATCGACTTCATGGAAATCTCCGGCGGAAGCTACGAAGACCCAAAGATGATGGGTAGGAGTAAAGCCAATCCCGCTGCAGCACCGAAATCAGCACGCACCGCCGCGCGCGAGGCCTTCTTCCTCGAGTTCTCGAAGGAAGTACGAGAGCGTCATCCTGGTCTTGTGCTTATGTTGACTGGTGGGTTCCGCACGCGTGCTGGTGCTGAGGCGGCTATTAGGGATGGCGCTTGTGATCTTGTCGGGATTGGGCGGCCTGGAGCTATTGATCCGAGGTTCCCGCGGCTGTTGCTGGATGAGAGTGTCAGTGATGACGAGGCAAGAATGGTGTTGAATAATGTGGCTGTTCCTTGGTATATGCGGTTCTTGCCGTTGCATCTTGTTGGGGCTGGGGCTGAGAGTGTAAGTTCTTTCCTTTCTGTTTATAGGTTAAGTGGTTTGGGTGGTTTGCTGACTAGTTTTATAGACATACTATTCCGGGCAGATTCAGAGTCTGGGCAAGGGGATTGCTACTGTTGCACCTCCTTCGTAGATTTTTAATTTATTTTAATACTTATTTTGATATAATAATATTTTGGAATATGGAATGGAAATGCATAGTATCACCTTGAACCTCAGGCCATCTTAGATTTGGCGTTTGTATAAAAAGACCCCCTTATTCATGCGTTGCTCTTCCCTCTTCATCTCTCTCCTTGCTTTTGCTTTTTCTTTCCCTTCCTCTATATATTAAATGTAGACTACAAATCCACTTCCATCATACCCACGGATGCCCTAGAATTTGTAAAAAACCCATCCATGACTTGTGCGGGTGGATTTGATCCTGTGCCGGATATGTCTTCCCTTGACATTTTCCAGCTACTTTCTTGGTGCGTATCCTGATTATCATCACTGTGTCTTAGGCTAGCGTGTTACTGTTTTTAAAAGGCGGCTAATTTTCCCTACTGAACCGCCAGCCTGGGCGGCTTTGGTTCAGAGAGTTCGTTCTCCACAAACTCCCGCAAAAAGAAGACCGAAGCGATGAGTCGTAACTTAAGATATTACACGCCTGAAGAGTGCTTCTTGGACGCAGCAAAATCCCTCTTGGACAAATTTCGAAACCAAAGATGATAGATGCAAAATATCTCTTCGGTGACTAGATATGAATATGAAAGTAGGGGAGAGGGGCAGCCCCTTAGTCACCGCTATGCCATATTTCCAACTTCTCCAGCTCCAAATTGATACATCTCTCACTTCTTTCACTGCTAATACTCATATGTTGAATCTGCAATGCTGTCATAGTTCTTTGCTATCCCCAAAGTATCGTGTTGTGAGGTCGATATTTCGGTTCCGTGAGGTATTAACTGGTCAATATGCGTAGATAGAGTATTGTTGTTGTAAATTACATGCCGTCATAATGTTCTTCTAAATAAAAACATTGCTGGAGCTAGCAGCCCACCGTTTCGTCGTCATCAACAGGAAATAATCGCAACTGTTTCAACTTCTCTTGTTCCTTTAACTGCCCTAGTTGTTGATAAAGGGCATCATTGCCCTGCACCAATCTTTGGATCCACAATGCAGTCTCCTCGAGAACATATTTCCTTGTATATTCCTGTTTCTGAAGTCCTGGCACAATACGACAGAGTTCTTTATATCGGTCTCTAACAAACTCTCTTCTCTTCTTCTCCGATCGGCAATGGCACAATTTCTGTCCTGGCTTTTGTATACATTTTCTCTTCTTTTGCCCAGATCGGGTCCTGGCTTTGACGCAGCTTGCCCGTTGTGTGCATTCGGTATCATCCGGGGATAATATTTGGCCTTGGATCGACGAGGACGAAGATGGCGAGGATGGTGTTTCGGATAGTCTTTCATCTTGTGGGACCATCGAGGACTGGAACATGGGAAAGGTGAATCCATCCAGTTCCGATAGACCCAGTATACACCTTTGAGATGGCTCGTCTATGCTTTGGGGGACATCGAAGTTAATGTCCATGGTGGCACAGAAACTGGCCATGTTCCGCATCAAGTTCTGCACAAGCCGCTCTTCTGTCCAGGTGCCGATTGGGCTAGAATAGCCGTGATAGCAAAAGCTGGGATCTGAACCCCATTGAAGACCTTCTGTGGGCCACTGTTCTTGGGAGATTGGTTGAGGTGTGTCAACGTGCCATAGGCAGTCGTGTGGAAGGGTAGGATGCTCCATTTGAGGCGTCTGATTGTCGTTTTCCATTTGGGGTTGTGGGAGATATCAACTGGTGTTGGGCTTTTTCTTTGACTGAATATATTCAAATAGCAGGTGGTATGGGGCTGAAGTTGTACTTTGGATTTTAGATATTGGTGAATCTGGGTTTGATATTCTGATATCAGGCTTCAGTGTGGAACGACAACAACGATATGTACCAGTACTTGACTTCGGATCATGGATAAAAGGAGAAAGTGAAAGGAAATAGCTTTATCCTATTATTTTGAAAGAAGTCTCATTAATGAGGCAGGAGGGTTCGCTACGTCAATTCCGGAATGCACCCGGCATAGTGTACCTGCGGATCCGCAGTCGCACTGCATCCGCAATACGTCTGCAAATGAAATGATTGGGTAATTTGACTGCATTTATTTCTATACTCCTTGAACTGTGTAACTATAAATATAGCAATGTAATATATAGTTGGCCTTTTGTTAAGTATTCCTCTCTTGACGCCTGCGCCTGTATAGAAACACATATAGAAAAACAACGGGTGCATCCCGGGACCCCCACGTATGATGTCGATCCGACACATTGGACCCAGCCCAATTATAGCACTCAAGTGTTCACTAGTTTTGACCTTAAGACAAAGCAGGAATAATTTCAATAATCTCCTCCATTTCTCTATTTTATTTCGAGCTAATTCCGGGGGTTATTGATTGACACGTGACCATGTCTCCGGGTACATTCCGGACACAACAGTCCCGGGATTGTTCCACTCCTTTTCCCTTCCCCAAGGATTACAGTTCCTGCATACGACCTTGCTTTCGGTATTAATCCGGATCACCAATCAAACAGTGCAGAAGCAATACTGTGGGTTGCACATACCCTTAGCTGTGGCTTATAGGAGCGGCCACAGATGCCTCCCAAAGGTGGAATTGCCAAACGAGAGCCACCGCGACGTCGCAAGATTGCCTTGGCATGCGAGTCATGTCGAGATAAAAAGGTCAGGTGCGATGGTATAAAGCCAATTTGTGGCCCATGCGCTCGACGCTCGTATACCGTTGATCAATGCGTATACAAGCTGGACAACGCGAGGTCTGCCAGCAACGATGAATACTTGAAGATTCTCCATGATCGTATTCGAGAGCTTGAAGACATATGTGCAAAAGGCGGGGTTGCCGTCCCGCCTGGGCCTTCACAACATGGAGACTACAGGGCATCTGAAAGTCAAAGTCACATGGGTGAACATATGGATCTGGATGGTCTGGACGCAGAATCTAGGACATCTGTGGCTGCAGAAGGATTACTAGGACTGGGTTCCACCCCTATGCCATCTGGACAAAGCCATCTGTCTTCAACTCCTACTTTTCAACCACCAAGGTTTCCCGCGCAGAGGAATCGACCGGAAGCTGAGCGCTATAGATCTCCACATGCACCACATCTGTCTCCTGAATCATCCCACCCACGAACAGGCGGTATATACCCACCCCCATCTCTCGACTCCCACGGTAATGTGACCGCTATGGGTGCAATATCTGTCGCAGAAGACGACCCAAGCACAGACTCTCCACAGGAGCAGCAATACTACGGGAACTCTTCGGTGGCCTCTTTTATGCGTCTTGCAGGAGAGTCGATGCCATTGCAGTCATATATGTCAGCTTTGCGAGGCAGCAAGAGCGAATCGTCAAGATCCCAGGGTACCGATACGGGGATTTGGCGAGACCTAGGCCATCCATCGGTAGACCTTCGATTCGACGACTTCTCTTTGCCACCTCGATCTCTGGCAGACCACCTTCTAAAGTGTTACTGGGACAGAGTACATTGTCTATTCCCATTTCTCCATCGCCCCAGTTTCGAACAAGCGTATGAAAATCTCTGGGGGTCGGACAAGGCATCCAAGCCCGAGTTGCCACAGCTCAATATCGGACTCGGGGGCGCATTTGACTGCGGTGCTAATTCAATTGTCTTCCATTGCGCACTCAATGCCATCTTTGCCATAGGCTGCTATTTCTCTGATATTCCGCCTACGGACCGAGAGGCTGCGGTTTATTCGTTTTTCCTTCGCGCAAAGCGATTTGTGAACCTTGATCTTCTAGACGTAGGCACTATCGGCGTGGTTCAAACGCTTTTGATTATTTCACTCCTTCTTCAGAGCACCCCTTATCCGAATCGGTGCTGGAATGCAATTGGATTGGCGTGTCGAGCTGGTCAAGGGCTCGGGTTACACGAGACAACCACACACGCCTCGAACAAACCTCTGGAGACAGAGATACGACGGCGTACCTGGCATAGCTGCGTCATTATGGACATGTTGGTGCAATCACCCCCCCCCCCCCCCCCCCAAGCCTACCTTCCCCAAGACACAGCCAACTAATGAATATAGGATTGTGAGCATGACGCATGGAAGACCAAGCATGACTTCTCACATCTCACCATTGCCTTTGCCTGTAATGGGAACATACCCCCAAGAAGCTGATCCTTGTGAGCTTAGTGGGCAGCCCTGTGATCATAAGTTGGGATATATGACGTTCTACGTTTCGACTATTGAATTATACAAAATTCTCGAGTCTATTCTATCCGAGGTCTATAACGCTTGGCAGAGTCGGTCTAATAGCACTCGTACCAGTTTACCGCGAAGCTCCAAGCTTTGTAGCTTGGATGTGTTGATGGAGCTCGACGATAAACTTGCTGCTTACGAGATTAACGTCCCCCAGCCCTTGAATTGGACAGATGAACCATCTCTGCAACGCTCAAGCAGCGGCAATGCGTCGATCTTCAAGCGCCAGCGGAACGTGTTGCGTGCTAGGTAGCTTCTCTCTCTGGGCTTTTGAGTTACAAGTTCTAACCGAAGAGGGAAAAAATAGATTCATTCACCTTCGCCTCCTGTTATATCGCCCAATGTTTACTCAGCTCTGCTCCGATGAGCGAGCAGGGTCATCACGCCGATCTGATATCCAATCCGCCGAGAAAAACATGATATACTCATCGGTCTTCTCAAAATGTGCCGCCTCCTGCGTCATGGCAGCTATAGACCTGGTCTCGCTTGTTCATGAGACATATCGAACAACTGTAACTGATGCATGGTGGTACAATGGATTCTGTTCGTTATCAATTCAGTTCATTATTATTCATGCTCATCAACTAACATGTACTAGACACATCAACTGCAGGGTTCATCCTGATAATGTCATATTCCTGCCATTCTATCCGGGAGCAGGTTGATTCACAAATCGTGGATGATAGTTGGCGCAAGTGCGAAGAGATCTTGGCTTTTATGGCTATGTTCAGTTTGTCTGCCCGCAACTCGTTGCAGTTCCTGCAAGTAACACACCAACACATTATGCAAAACTACTCGGGTTCGTTGTTAATGGATCTTCACTGGGTATAGGCTAATTCTCGTATAGCTACTTGTCGGCCTGGTGATACTTCCTCGTCAGTTCCTACTCAGCTGCACCAAAGGGGCAATCAACAACCCAACCAACCCGATTTATCGTCACAGCCTACTGAGCCGATATCAGACGAACACAACCTCCGTCAAGAACCCAATAACATGGATATCAATCTTTTTACAACTTGGGATGAGATGGGCTTGGGTCAGGAAGAGTTTGGTTTCCTTGGGAGATTTGATTTACCGGATCTTGCAAGCTGGTTTACAGATATACCCCCTTGAACATATCATAAAGGTGGATTCTTCTTTAAGAATATACAATAACAACCATCATACCAGACTGATACTAGTCGACTACGTCACATGAACACCACCAGATCTGACATCCAAAGGGGTCAAGATAACACCAAGGAAGCATAGAACTAAGCTTGACAAGTCTATCGAATATACTTCCAGGCATACCCTATCTTGAAAACAACGGTTCTATTGCCTCATATAGAGGGCCTCGAATTTGGCCGACTCTTGCGATTTCTCCTTTAAAAGTCCCCAGAAACAATCATAGAACAGCTCCCCTGATGAAGAAAGGACGATCTATCATATTAATCACAATAAAAGGGCATCATCTTCATTTCTCACACGTATGCACAACCAACACATCAAAAATAAATCACAATGGATCAAAAAGTCTCGTATCACCCTGACTCCAAAAAGTCCCAGACAAACTCTCCAAAGTCTCAAAGTCCGGCACCCACAGCGGATCACTCTCATTCTGATCGATCCATGGCGCCAGCTGCAACGCCATCCTAACTGCATGCTCAGAATCATCATCCGGACAACCCTGCGGCTGGGACGTAGCACCCGCAGTATCAGGAGCCAGCCCCGTCGGGTTGACCGGAGGGAACTTATCACTACCATACATGCCGGGGGCAGTAGTGAAATCCCAATTAACGCCATACTGAGCCGTCATCAGCTCTGCCATTCCGGCATTGCGGGCAGTCTCATTGCCCTGCAGTTTCTCCATAGCGGCGTTGACTAGCAACTCGAAGGCGTCGCGGTATTTCTTGACCCATGCTGCGCGCTCGCCCATCACAGAGAGTACTGTTGAGCAAGCGCGGATGTCGTTGCTCATGCGGACGGACCAGACTTGGTCTGTGTGTGTCCATAGCGCGTAGAGGAGGGTGATTCCGGCCATAAAGACTGTTTGCACGGCTAGGAAGGAGTGCCCGTATTCGAGGTTTTGGTGCAGGCGTTTGTGGGATTGGCATATGTTGCCTGCGGCCAGGATGCAGATTTGGTAGTATGGGTCTGTGATTGGGAGGAGGGGGAGGAATGGTTGGATTAGGAGTCGGACTGCTCGGTTGAAGTGCAGCATTGGGTAGTCGATATCTGGGCCGTTGAATCGCAATACGGCGGATTCTTTCCATTCTTCCAGTTCAAGATATAGAAGGTCCATTTTTGGTCGGAGAGAAGAGAGGGGCCGGTCGGCGCGGTAGATTTTATGTTGGATACGAGAGTCAATGCGTCGGAGTTTGAAGAGGTATATTGCGAATGTCAAGGTTGTGGTTTTGGTCGGATCTACGGGTGCTGTGAGTAGTGTGGGATCTTCGATGTCATCGTCCAGTTCTAGTGGGAGGTCGAGATCAATGTGACGATCAGCTAT